ATCCAGAGATTCTCTTCACAATTTTATTGGGATTTTGGTAATCCATGAATTACAATATGGGAGACACACATTTTTCAAGAAAAGTGTACTTTGACATTGGCACTCTAGATGTTGGAGTGGACTACATCTCCCCTGATGCTTTGCCATCATTATGGCTGTACGAGCATTATGGGAGATGTAGTCCACCACATCTGGAGTGCTGAAGGTTGCCTAACCCTGCACTATGTTAAGCATAGTGTGTAATATCTAAGCTTGTAAGAAGCTGATATATATTCATATCCGCATCTGTAACCAATTATTGTCTTTGCAGAAAGAAGCCAAAAAAGAAAAGGCAGTGGTTGACAGAGTTTTCTTTGCACGGATTGGGCGGATATTGAGAATATTGGTTCCAAAAACTATCTCAAAGGAGGTGAGGGTTCAAACATGCTGCTTTCTTTTATGTGACATCTGCCTTTATTGGGGTTATTACCATTTCTGACAATGGTGACTATCCAACGTTTGTAGTTGATGTTTCTGAATTAGCCGGCTTGTCTTCATCAAAAGCCAGTCCAGTATTTTGAGTAAATTTGGTTCATTCTTACTGATTTAATGCTTGGTTTGGTTTCCCATTTCAGAGTGGATACCTGCTACTTATAGCTGTCATGCTGATTGCACGTACATACTGTGATGTTTGGATGATTCAGAATGGCACTTTTATTGAAAGGTAATGCTAAATATTCTCCTTGAATGTATTTATAGTTTAGAGACCAGTCACTTTTTTATTTCTATTTTGACCTACAGTTTTTTTTCCTCCTCCTTCCATGATTAATAATATAACTAATACATTGCTGCATTCTTTTTCGGTGCTTCAGCATATTTGTCAAAACCTAAAACGTTCTGTAACTAAATCTGTAAGTGAGGTAGGGATCGACTATCGGTCTGGCCGATATCGGCTGATATTCTGTATTTTCAGCAATATCGGTATCTGCCAATAAAGATACTGATATTGCCAATAATGCAGACTAGGACTACCATGTGTCCTAGGGGGCCCGCGGCGGTCCTGGGGGCCCAGCACACTCTTACTTACCTTCCCTTCAGGTCCCCTGTCTAAATCTCACGAATCCTGCGGCCGTCAGAGCGTTGCCATTGGTTACCATTATATGCACACTACACAAACACACTCTGCATTCATTATATGCACACTACACAAACACACTCTGCATTCATTATATGCACACTACACAAACACACTCTGCATTCATCATATGCACACTACACAAACGCACTCTGCATTCATCATATGCACACTACACAAACACACTCTGCATTCACTATATACACACTACACAGACTCTCAAACTCTGCATTCACTATACACACACTACACAAGCACACTGCATTCACTATACACATACTACACACACACACACACACACACTCTGCATTCAATATATACACATACTACACACCCACTCGGCATTCAATATATACACACTGCATTCACTATACACACACTACACAAACACACAGTGCATTAATTATATACACACAACACACACACTGCATTCATTGTATACACACTGCATTCACTAATCAAATACTCTCACTACACACACACATATTCTTGAAAACATGTATATTTTGTGCATTTACCTTAAAAAAAATATATTCTTTTTTGCAAATAATAAACATGTTCAGTTAACAGTA